TCGACAACAATGGAGGCCTGTCGTCAACCATTAGCTAGGTCATTTAGTTTGTTCCGATTTACGGAGTGCATCCACTCAATGCCAGCCTTCTTTCACTGACTTTGCGTCGCTTTCACGTGAAACGAGTGCATAACAGACACGTCTAAAACAATTCAAATGCAACTCCTATTTGAAATAACTGGGACAGAAAACTAATCGTTTGTGTAAGCACAAATGAAAAATGTACATGCCGTTTTTCATTTTTATGCGCTCTCAAAGATGAGTCGACTTTTGAGTTTTAAAAATTTAAATTAAACGTACGACCTGGAACAAACCACACAGTTTGGTATATAAAATACTTTTTATATCATTTTTTTAATATTTCTAAGCCAACACTACATACAACTAAAACATGACTATCGTATTTATAATAGCTCGAAAATATGTAACTTTAGACCTGGAAGGATTAGATCGACAGTAAAAACACTTATTTTATTTTATCAAATCTTTCAAAAACACAGATTTTTGTAAACGACGACTATTCTTTATAGCGGCCAGTGCAGTGGGGAGCGGTGCAAAAAAGTCTCGTTTTTGTAGAGCAGAGCGTAGATACTTCCGCAAACAGCTGGTTGATATAGCAAATAGTTTGTATTTTAAATAGTTTAAAATTTGTACGTACTCTTAAAATAGTAAGGAAACGATTTTGTTCTTAATACTAATTTTTGTTACGAAAATTGTGATTGGAAAATGTTGTCGAACAAGTATAATAATCTGATTTACTTTAATACATGAAACAATTATTGATTTCTTTTGATAAAAGAAAAGACTCAAATATTCCTTTTTATCTCGTTTTTGTGTGTTTGATTTTATTGAAGTATTGGTACTTGCGTGTTCTTAAATCATATCGATAAAGTTAAAACCTTGATAAAGGATTGCATGTGGCTTAAATGAAATACAAATACGTTTTACAAAGTCAATGTAATATTAGTCTAGATATATAAAAATTGTAATATTAAAAGTGAAGTAAGGGAAGACTCGACAATTTATGCACACTTTTTCTCTTTCCAGAGAGCACCCACACCTTTGTTATGGAATTAGACCATACTTCATCACGATGCGGGTCACTGAACTCCGCTTGCCCTCAATTTCTATTCTTTCCACTTTACTTCAAATTCTTACCATACTCTTGTTATATAATTATTCTACAAAACATGATCAGACATAAAAGCTCATTCAGTCATCTTATAAAATACTTTTCGGAACTTATTCTAATAATTAATTTTTTTTTCTAATTTCTTCTCTACTGAAAAGTTCAGATTTTGATGAATCAAAACTTAATTCACATCAGAAAACAATGTATTAAGACGCACATGTATTGAACAACTTCTATTAATTGAATAAATTGATTTTTATTTCGTATCATCTGATGTTACGATTAGTTGGAATGGTACAAAAATTATTAGTTAAATTAATAAAAACTTCTAATATTTTGTTAAAATAAGGGTAGATTCAGAGCCCCTTCGTAGGAACGTATAGTAAGCTGATAATGATGAAAAATATAGAATACTAAGATTTTATTATTCATCTATCTAAAATCATTTCTATTTAAAATTCAATGAATACACAAAAACTCGAATATCAGATATGAGCTATACTCTATGTGCTCTATGTGCTATACTCGAACGATGTTTCCAATCCAATTTATATACGTTTACCTAAGCATAGGCCTACAATCTGTATTATCTTTTGAACCAGTACTAATATAAATATATGTAATACTCGGTATTCTATGAATAAATATTTCCAAAATAAAATGTTTCCATATATTCACGTACCTTTATGAACAAAGGCATTCTTAAACAGGCATTTACTTAAAGCCGCAGTGACCGTGTTTAGTGAAATAAAATCTCTTTACAAAGTAAAAAGGGCCGTTCTTTTTGGGCCAATTAGTATCAGTTTCCAGAATGCCTTTACAACCAACATACTCAAAAACAGTGGTCCACGTGTGCGACAGCTGCCTAATACTTTTTCCTAATAAAAATAATAATACTTTTCATTAGAGTTTACGCTTTATTGCTTTGTGAATTTCAACCTTAAATCATGCTGATTAAATTCATATTCGCTTATAGAAATTAGTTCTTCAAATTTCCTTATAAATTAATTTAAATTCATCGTTATTTGAATCTTGATCCATGAATATATCTTACTTTATCGTTGAAAATTTCATGATTGGTTGACTGTTAATTAAGAACTTACATAGCAAAAATAATAACTGAAAACACAGTACAATTGCTTCGGCCCTTCTACGATAACAATCGCAAGTGTTACTTGAATCACAATGCACTTAATCACGATATTTTCTTTAGCAATCGTGAAACAATTCTGTCTATAAAATTGTAATGAATTTCCCTTGTAAATATTTCTCAAAAATATAACTATCTACTTAACAATACCTACTTCGTTAACAAACAAGAGTTCGGCTTACAAAGAATAAAGTCTGATATCTTTTCTGTCATATCAATACTAAGGCTATAGAGCTGGCTCTTCGGTTATAATTTGTGTTGGTGATCGTGATATCTTCAAAACTACTTCTAAGATTTATGAAGAAAAAAAAATTGTTAGGCAATTAATACCAAAAAAAATTATCCGCGAAAAATGACATTTAAATTGTTTTTCTAAAACAAAAAGCGTTTATTGAGAGAACTACGGTTATTTTTGGTTTAGTTAAGTTTTAGTACATAGGCTATATTACTGAATGATAATTTAGCTTTCATACCAAACACTTTTTAAGATTGAATCATTTTTTTTCTTTGAGTTTATACGTTACCTACTACATCAAGTCCGTGTATGGCGGGCTTTAGGTTCTTTGTGCAATAAGATAGATAACGTTTGATCTTCTTACTATCCCTAACTTATTTGGAACAAAAATTCCCTCAAAGATTACAATGGCAAAATGAAAGGTATCTTTGAACGATCATGGTCGTCTCTAGCTCGCCAGCATCTTATCTACAAACCCTAACCGTTACTTGTAATGGAATTCCAATTACTATTTAAGTAAGATAAACGATTAAAATGCGGTTCCTTTGACCGCGTTCTCTAACAAATTACACATGGAACTTTATTCGTATTGCAATTACGTTCCAGAACTGAGTTTTGAGTATCTTTGATATAAATTGAAAGTAAACATATTTGAATTGTAGCTGTATTTCTTAAAATCAGTAATTGAAAAAAATCGAGTTTTTCTTCTCTCAGTATAAAGTCTAGTTAGTAACAAACAAACAAAACTCATTTCTGTAAACCAGAGAACCCACCACGGATCTCCGTTTGTCGTAGCGAAAGAAAACCTCTGCATTCGGCTTTTCTCCCCTTCGAAAGACGAAACTTCACGGATGGCGAGCCGCGTTGCCAACTTTTTCTCCCGAAAATTCAAACATATCCTTGAATTTCTTTGCTGATATGTGCAGGTAGCATCATGATGTTTAATTGCGCCATAACAACGTCGGATAAATGTGCATATGTAAATCGAATCGATGTCCTGCAGATTACATGTTTTGCTTAAAGTGCTTAACCCTTGAGCCACCGACTCTCTCAAGTTAGAAAAATATATTATTCCTAAAAACACCGTACCTGGTACCTGGCGCACGTTAAAAGGTTTATATACTTGGCAAATACATACTACTGTCAAGATAAATGTGAAATATATATGTATGTCTACTTTACTGGCTTTAAATTTCCGGCTCGTATTTCAAGATTAAAAGTTGGATATCAATTGAAAAGCAATCGCTGTTTAATATTCCAGAAGTATTTGGATGGTCGTGCTCGCATACATACAAATAGGTTTTCCACATTCCCATTATGAGTGCAGCTAAGTGGCTATCTGTATTTGCGATATTTCAGCGCAATTCGCTCGGGACTTTCAAGAGGTTTGATCGGTGCATGAACTGTTTTTTTATGTAGTATTAAAAGTCCGGTTACTGAAAGCTTTTACAAAATCAACATCTCTTCCAATGTAGGTATAACGTTTTCAATCAATTCTTAAATTGGTAGTACGTATTAATTTTTCTCAAGTGTAAAAATGTTTGACAATGTTGCCGTTAACTTTATAAATCGTAAAGAAAAAAGAATGTCATTTCGTCTTCTAATTTCAAATGGTAAAACAAAAGATTAAAAGTTATGACGAATTATCGTAATAAAAATATTTTTTTATTCGTGAATAAACCTTGTCGTGTTTCACGTCATAAGATATAATCCTAACAAGTTAATATCATTTGAAGATCTGTGTATAATATGCAATTCTCAGACTGTGTTATCTACTAACTGTGAGTTTCTAACACCAAAATCCTTATTTAAAACTCTCTTTTGTTAAAGATGAAAGACAGGGATAATGATATGTTTTGTACAGAGATTTTAGTCTCAGAAAACCACGGTAAGTGCGCTGCACTCATACATGTGTCGCTTTAATTCGGATCACGTGCCAAACTGCTTACATGTGCAGAAACGAAGACATTTGGCACTCGCTCTGAAAAGCCTTCCTCTTTTTCTATACTATTTAAATAAATAGGCGGACATTACCTTTATATAGACGCCAATTGGTCGAGCAGTTTTTTAATACTGATTGTTAGTCTGAGGTTTATAACCCACACGTTTTTATTGTAAATCCTGATGTTATTAATGTGAAGGAATGTCCTCTAACTTTAAAAAAAAGGATTATTCATTATCATAGCTCTTTATAAAGTTTCAAAAGTTACAAATTTTAGTCTAAGGTATCAATTTTTTATCCTTTTACGTTTTATCTTCATACCGACCGCAAAGTGACGATAAACCCCCACGATCACGTTCAAAACTCGAGTCGTACGGACCTGTAATGGGGGTTTTGTGAAACACTGAAAACAGACAAATGAAAACGAGTGTGCCAATTGGACTTTAGGGACACATTGCGAAAATTTCCACTTCAAAATTAAATGTAACAACGCAGTTGCCTTGTGCTCGAGGTTTTTATAATTGTTTTTTTTTTATTGCAGCGTCGCGTATTCGATACGAGATCACGAGCGGGAACATAGGGGGCGCGTTCGCTGTCAAAAACATGACAGGCGCCATCTACGTAGCCGGCGCGCTGGACTATGAAACTAGGAAACGGGTAAGTTATCGTTGTATTATATCTGCAGTTAGTCTTCCTATTTAGTTTACAATTTAAGTTCGTAAAAAACAAAATTCTTTTACGTGACTATTTGAATAAACTTTCAAAAAATGTAAAAGTTTATGAACGGTAAAATAAAAACATCGTTAAAGAAAAGAAAAGCCAAAATGTTTGGTGAATACTGTTATTTTGTTATTTCATTTAGCGTAAAGCTATTTTAAACATTTATATAATATGCGTTAATGCATTTTAAGGGATTATACATTCGAAGTAAATTCTTTAAACTCATATGTGGAGAAACTTTAAATAACTCATACTTAAGTACTACATTTTAATTAATATTGTTTTAAAATGTCTCTGAAACAAGTCTTTCCAACAGTTTTAAAATTTATTTCAGTATAAAATTCTATGTCAAGGTAATGTACTTTGAGTTGTAAAGGTCTAATTAAAACGTCTTTTGCTTCTTTGAATTAAACTTTTGCCTTCAATACTGCACATTCTCATGTATGCGAATACATGTCAGTTGGAATAGTTAAATAAAACTATACAATATTTTATGTTGGTCCATTTTATTGTGTTGGAGCGAAATAGAGTTCTAAAGATGTTGAGCGACCGATTACAAATGACTAGCGCATGAACCACCTTGGCACAAGGTTGAAGCGAACATGAAAATCCAACAATATCGAACATTGGTAACACTCGTTACGTTGAAAATATTAATATTTTCTCTAACTTTAATAAATTTTAAATTATTTACTGAATTTTAATAAATGGATAATCTTTAATAAAAACAAACATAAATTGTTACGTTGTTGTAATTAGGGACCTGCTGATTTTATTTATGTTGTATAATGTTTTAATTAAAGCTAAGGTGTTCGCGTATTAAAGGATTAATTGCTTTTTTAACCATTACTTAAAGTTGAAATAGACGCCCTGAAACTAGGGAGCAAAGTGTCTCAATTTCTTGGGCCGCGCTTCGCGTTTAAAGCAAGCGTCGTATCTCAGACACTACAGAGCTATCATAAGACGCTTCTTTCTTAGTCCCGTAGAGAAAGTTTCATCGAACTTTAAGCGAGATAAATTATTTAATCTTTAATATCCATTTAAACAGGCGAGCGTGCTCGCTACGACCGGGTCTTCGTGCTGCAGAGTTGCCGCGAATCACTAATGGAATAAACTCGTTTATAACAAGAAAGCTTCCTTGTCCTTGTTCAATTCTATTTCGTTTTCTTAATTGGTTATTTATCAGTGCTCTGTTTTCCCAACGATAATTTCCCTCTACAACTAAATTAGTCTCAAACCACAAGCTTTGATGGGGTATGACGATAAGATTTTACTTTGAGAAATGAGAACCAATTATTAATTAACTAAATATTTCCATAATGAATTTACAATAGTAGTAATCTTCATAGGTGTAAAATATTCTTTTTTTTAACATTCAGCTTTGGAATCTCAATACAAATTAGAAAAAAAAAAGAATACTCTACATACTTTAGAGGCTTTTCGCCTTCAATTGTTTCTATTTGAAATTTTGCTAATTGCGGTGTCGACACTTCAAACAAATGAAGCATTTTACGATGTTAAGTGACGGTTCTATAGCGACAGCGCTGAGGCTTGTAAAGGCCAGTTAATAGCGTTGCATGTGTTGAATTGTAACTGCTGTAATCCAGTTGACGCATTTGAAATTCAGCCAATGAAAAGGCTTTTTTAAATAGACTATGCAAATAAGAATTTTAGCTACCAAAGTTTTCATCGAGAAATTTGCAGTGTTATTAATTAATATATTTTTAGAATGTTAAGTTCAAATATACATAGTTTCAGATTTTTCAAATAATTTTCAATAACACTTTGATTGACTAAAATGTAAAAGCAATTGGAGATTTACGAGACTTATCATTAACCCTTTTTATGTTACCTGTTCGTAACGAAAACAAACTTCAGAAAAGGATAACTTTTGGAAACTCGAGAAAGCTAATTTATAGTCAATTCCACTTTAATTCAACTTTTTTATCATTGCCAAAAGAAAATGCTTTCATTTCATTACTTTAAAAAAAATTGTAACTTAAACAATTTTACATTTAGCTAGATTAATACTCGTAACACAAACTTTTTGGTTGTTTCTATTGTTTTTTGCCGACTTCATAAAGAAGGAGGTTATCAATTCGTTTGTTTCTTTTTATTAATTGTATTTGGGCTACAGTACGAGTTGAAACTGGCGGCATCGGACAATCTGAAAGAGAATTATACTACGGTGGTGATACATGTGAAAGATGTCAACGATAACCCTCCAGTATTCGAAAGGCCAACTTACCGCACGCAAATCACCGAAGAAGTCGACCGAAATCTTCCAAAACGTGTCCTACAGGTCCGCTTGTTACAAAAAATTAATTCCATAGAAGTTTTTAGCTTTATGCTAAAGAATCGCATGAGTGTTTATTTGGGTTGGCGTTTTTTTTTGTTTTTCCGTCGTGTCCGCATGGCATGCTATTCTTTGTGGATACGTAGTTTTTGTTACAGTTCCATTTGTTTGGCATCTATGGTTGTTAGTTTTGTTTTATTCGCATTCAGTTCGTTGCTAGTTGCTAATTATTACTGGTAAAAATATTTTTGAAGCTGCTATTTTTGTTTTTGATTTTTATTTTTCTTCACAGGTTACTTTATTAATAAAGTTGCCGTCATATTTATGATTAAACACTAACTGCTATATTCAGGTATGTTTATTGGTCACTAAGGGAGCCACATAGTGTAGATTTAGCTCGGTAAATCTACGTCTATCAGACCCTTAAGTACCATTAAAATTCTGAGTTTGACAGTTGAAAAAACGCGTGAATAATTAAAATTCAAGTATCATCGTGATAAAAGTGATAATCTTACTTTTTATGATATTAAATAAGACCTTTTTAAACATCCTCTTGAAACAAGAACGGTGAAAGTTGATGAATTTCAAAAACGGTCGCCGCACACTCACTCAAAGCGCAGTTTTTAAGTAGAGTCTACTGAAATTCATTGAGGCGCGTAATACCCCGCCCGCTTACGACAAAGCTCTTTAAACAATCGCCCCCGTGATTTCAACATTTATTTACTCCAAGCTTGGGATCGCAGATCTTTTAAAAGACCTCTTATTTACAATCTAACTTGATATTTCATATTTTTATTATTATAATGAAAACTTCTTGTCTTTCTTAAAGCGCCTTCTTGGTAATCTTTGTTTTTTATATTTAAATTAAAAATAGAAATGTTGGTAAGAAAACAATCTTACTGCAACATAATATCGAGTACATTGCCATAAAAAATAAAATGGGCTTGGTATTATCCTACACAAGTAAATTTAATTATTTAATAATTTTTATAAATTCAATGAAGAAGATTATAATCATATTTCTCAGTCTTTAACAAAGGAAATTATTAAATAGAACTAATTCAGAACTTAAGTCATTGGAATTATTTATTTATTGATTTCTAGGAATCATTTAATATTAAGGTGAAATTGAGCTCAAAATGGATACCCTCGCGGGCTTGAGCAATAACAAATAATAACCAGGAAATTTTATTAGAAACAGGCATGTGTCCTAACTACGGCATTCTCTTTATTTAATTTAGGAAAATTCACGGTTATTCGTTGTTCCTTTATGAGAAAACATGATAATTAGGAAGAAAATAGCTGTCGCCCGGAGTCCTAGCCGTGGGGGATTAAAAAAAGAAGCCCATTCACAGACTGTGCATATAAAATTTCATAAAAATCGGTCATTTTGTTTTTATATATAAGAGTTTAACTCTTTGTTAATTTATATGCAACTTATTTAAAATTAATATTCAATCAATTGAAACATAATTACTGTTAAAATGACTCATTTTATCATAATTATACCCAAAAAACGGACGTCATATTTGGATGTATATATTTATATCAATTTTATGATGAAAAAAAAAACTTGTATCAATTGAAAATGGATACAATGAAATACGTATTTGTGTATCATTTTGCGATTAAATATCAGAACAATCAAAAGCTCGTTTTTCTGATCTCGATTTTAAAATAAAATAAAACAAAAAGAGTTCAACAACAATGATGTTCGTAATAAGAACGATAATTATAATTATTAAAATAAATATCATATTTTCATGTTGCGTTGTTAAAAATAATCTTATACGAAATGAAATATTTTGCGTTATTTTATTTAATTAGAGGCTTTATTTGTATTTTATGAGGTCATGAAAATGGAAATTAATATGTCAATTTCCAGGAACAAACTTGTACTTATATGTCAAAATTAATATCAGTTAACCATTGAAATATTGCGTATTTAAGTAAATAAATTATACGTATCTGAATGTTAACATAAATATTGAACTGTATTTAAATAAATTTTGTTTTTATTCCATCCATAATTATATGTAAAACTAGTACAGTGATAGTTTTTACTGACGTTATATAGCGAAGTGCGGGTTGGTTGACTTCACACATATCTTTGAATTTCTTCTCAGATATGTGCAGGTTGCATCACGATGTTTTCCTTCAGCGTGGTTGACTATGGCCTAGTCACCCCTAACTTAGGGTAGGCTCCGAGCCCCTCGGTGGGGACGTATAGTTAGCTGATGATGATGATGATGTAGCGAAGAAGTAGAGAAAACTATTTTTTTAGACATCTTTATTCCAAGTACTTCCTCGAACTAATATAATAACACGGTAGGGCTGTCAAACATAAAAATATATTTGAATATACGTGATCTCTAAGTTTGAGCTCGATATGTTTACACAGCACAGGATGATGTAAGAGGTCTTTGTCTTAGGCTTGGGCCTAAATTCCCTGTTTTTTTTTTGGATTACAATAAGTTATTTATTTTTTCTTGTAAATTGAGATTAAATATTGCATGTGGCATGGTTTGTGCGTGTGCGCAGTATGAGCTGACATTGGTTGCGTCCGATGGCCGGAACGAGAACTCAACCCGCGTCGTCGTCCGCGTGTTAGACATCAACGATATGCCACCAAAGTTCTCTCGCAGCGCTTACGTCACACAAGCTTTAGAAGAGACCGGACCATTCCCTCGACATCTTTTGCAGGTTTTTTTTTTATTTTTTTGTTTCTTTTATTTTTTTAAATAAATGCAATGGGTCAATGGCATTGGAATATAAACATAATAGAAAGCAAATTGCAATTGCGACTCTACAATCCCTACGTGTCAACAAAATTAATTTTATTTTTTACTTTTATTTTTTTTTTATTATTTTTTTGTTATTTTTATATTTTTAACATATCGAGGAATAAAAAAATTACTAAAAAAACATTAATGACTTTAATAATTAAATTACTGACGCGTTAAGTTATTGTCTCCAAAACTTATTGCTGTAGGTATAGGTCTTCAGCATCTTTTAGCTTATTAATCATTATAACTTTAAGATAAAGAGGTAAGTAACTAAGTAAGAAATAATAACTAACCACATTTTTCTATTAAACATGATGTTTTCTTTGTGTAAATGTTAATTAGTTGTTGACATAAATTTAGTTGTATGCATATTTTTTGCTATAAATGTAGTTAAATAGAAAAAAGTAAGATTTTTATTTTTTTATTTATGCATGTACCGTGTAGCAGCTTGCCTTTCATACATTTTTAATCTTAATCCGTGTTTGAGATAAGTAGGTCCTGTTCCAAAGTGCTTTATACTTTATTTCGTAGGCCCGTGGAAAACTTGGTTTTAGTTTGTATTTACTCACTTTAATCATAATTAACGAGAAAGTAATAAATCATTCAGCGAGGTTAAGGATTAAGGCATTTCTAAACTTCCATAACGTTTCCAAGTTATTACAATTAAGTGTTTTGTAAAGAATAATCAAGTTTCAATTTTCCTTTGTTTTTATAACCGATTTATTTGATGATTGACAAATTGCTCCTGTTAAATATTAAATTAAAGGCATTCAAACTTTAAGCAACTTTTCACAATTTTTGTTATATATTTTGTACAAACACAATGTCATAAAAGCTATGTAAAGACAATTAAACCTGCGTCCCCAATCGCTTGTAGTGACAAGCATTTTTTTTATAATTGGAACGAGATTTGCAAATGATCCGAGTAATTATGCTAACGTCGACCCTCTTCATTTTTTTGACTTAAAACCAGCCCAACGTAATTAGAATCCCTATATATTTTATAACATTTTTTCTAAAGTAATTTACTTTATTTTTTGCAAATTATCAAATTTTTTGTACAGAGTTTTTCGAATTCGAAACAATAACACAATTCTCGAATTTAAATTTTCAAAGAGAGAAAAAATCACGCATAGCTACAAGCCAGTAGCAAACTAAAACTAGCAAACCCTACCGTTGTCAGACGCAAACAATGCGCAAAAGTTACTTGCTTTGTAACTTCACTACATTTACGGAAACTAGTAATTCGTAAAAAACAGTTTTTTATTGTGAACGTAGCAAAATTTAAATTATTTGTAAAAAAAATTATTTACACAACACTAAAATACATGTATTAGTTAAAATTAAACTCAGGTATAAGGTAAGTTAAATAATAAGTTAATGATTCAAACCAAAAACCAAGTATGCCAATATTACAACATTTATTCCACAAAGTAAACATAATTTATATTCCTATAATTTCTCAGAGGTATACTGTTCGTGATGGAATAATAATTATTCATATTTTATATATGTTAAAGTGTGCGTTATTTTCATCTCAGGTTACTGCGACGGACGGCGATAAAGATCGGCAGCAAAACATCGTATACTTTTTAACTGGACAGGGAATTGATGCAGATAATCCTGCAAATAGCAAATTTGATATAAATCGTACAACGGGCGAAATATTTGTTCTTCGGGTTAGTAGCATTTTTATCTCAATATCTTTTACAATTACTAATATGTATCAAGTTTCAAATTACATTTTTATTTCAGCCTTTGGATCGTGATCAACCTAACGGAAGACCACAATGGAGGTTTACAGTATTCGCTCAAGACGAAGGTGGTGAAGGCCTAGTAGGTTACGCAGATGTTCAAGTGAATCTTAAGGATATTAATGATAACGCACCTATCTTCCCACAAGGAGTTTACTTTGGCAATGTTACTGAAAACGGTACTGCAGGCATGGTTGTTATGACAATGACTGCATTAGATTACGATGACCCTGCCGAAAGTAACAACGCAAAGTTATGGTATTCTATTGAAAAGAACGTCATCGAAGAAGAAACCGGCTCACCTATATTTGAAATTGAGCCAGAAACTGGTGTAATAAAAACGGCAGTATGTTGTTTAGATCGTGAACGAACTCCTGATTATTCTATACAAATAGTCGCATCAGATGGCGGGGGGCTTAAAGGAACTGGTACAGCATCAATACGTGTTAAAGATATCAATGATATGCCTCCACAATTTACTAAAGATGAATGGTTTACTGAAGTTGATGAAACTGATGGCACTAACTTACCAGAAATGCCTATTCTGACCGTTACAGTACATGACGAGGATGAAACAAATAAATTTCAATATAAAGTTATTGAAAACAGTGGTTATGGAGCTGATAAATTTACAATGGTTAGAAATAATGACGGTACTGGTTCGTTAAAAATAGTTCAACCATTGGATTATGAAGATCAGTTGCAAAGTAACGGTTTTAGATTTAGAATACAAGTGAATGATAAAGGAGAAGATAATGACAATGACAAATATCATGTAGCTTATTCATGGGTTGTGGTAAAACTAAGAGATATAAATGACAATAAACCTCAATTTGAACGGGCTAACATAGAAGTATCTGTATATGAAAATGCAGAAGTTGGCAAGAGTCTTGAAACATTCAAGGCGACCGATCCAGACCAAGGTGGAAAGAGTAAGGTTTCTTATGCCATCGATAGATCTTCTGATAGAAAGCGACAGTTCTCTATTAATCAAGAAGGTACTGTTAGTATACAAAGAACATTGGACAGAGAAGACACGCCAAGACATCAAGTCAAAATATTAGCTATCGATGACGGTGTCCCACCAAGAACAGCGACCGCAACGTTGACTGTAATAGTTCAAGATATAAACGATAATGCACCCACCTTCTTGAAGGACTACAGACCAGTATTGACGGAACACATAACACCGAAAAAAGTAGCTGAAATCTTAGCTACTGATGATGACGATAGATCTAAAAGCAATGGACCTCCATTCCAATTCCGCCTGGACCCCGGTGCGGATGATATTATTAGAGCATCATTTAAAGTAGAGCAAGATCAAAAAGGTGCGAATGGAGACGGAATGGCTATAGTTTCCTCTTTGAGATCTTTTGATAGAGAACAGCAAAAAGAATACCTTATTCCAATTATTATTAAAGACCACGGTAATCCAGCTATGACTGGTACAAGTACACTAACTGTGGTTATAGGAGATGTTAATGACAATAAAATGCAACCTGGTTCTAAGGAAATTCTTGTGTATAATTACCAAGGCCAAGCACCAGACACTGAAATTGGACGAGTATACGTGTATGATCTAGATGATTGGGATTTGCCGGACAAAAAGTTCTATTGGGAAAGTTCAGAACATCCAAACTTTACTTTAAATGAAGAAACAGGGATGATTCAAATGAAACATAAGACAAGGGAAGGTAGATATCATTTGAAATTTAAAGTTTACGATAGAAAACATACTCAAACGGATGTTCCAGCCAATGTCACGGTGTACGTCAAAGAAATAACACACGAAGCAATTATAAATTCAGGTTCCATACGGATATCTGGTATTTCCGATGAAGATTTTATCCGTGTTTGGAATTACAAAACACTTAGTGTATCTAGAAGTAAACTAGATATTTTTAAAGATAAATTAGCCGACCTGCTTAACACTGAAAGGGAAAACATCGATATATTCAGTGTTCAACTAAGAAAGAAACACCCACCTGTAACAGATATACGATTTTCGGCGCATGGAGCTCATTTCTATAAACCAATTCGTCTAAACGGTATTGTACTCATGCATCGAGAAGATATTGAAAAATCGGTAGGGATCAATATAACCATGGTCGGTATAGATGAGTGTATTTATGAAAACCAAATGTGTGAAGGATCATGCACTAATGTACTTGATATAAGTAACCTACCCTATATGGTGAATGCAAACAAAACTGCTCTTGTTGGTGTTCGAGTCGATGTGATTGCTGAATGTACTTGTGGAGCTAGAAACTTTACTCAAGCTGAAACATGTCGTAATTCCCCGTGTTATAACGGAGGTCGATGTATAGAGGGAAAATACGGCTTGACATGCTCATGCCCACCCGGATATACAGGTCCAAGATGTCAACAAACATCTAGAAGCTTTAGGGGTACCGGCTGGGCATGGTACCCCGCTTTGGAAATGTGTGATAATTCGCATCTGAGTTTCGAGTTCATAACAAGAAAATCCGAGGGAGTATTACTTTACAATGGACCCATAGTACCACCCGAACCTGAAGAAATAATGGTGTCAGATTTCATATCTGTAGAACTAGATAGAGGTAATCCACGACTGCTTATAGATTTTGGATCTGGCACTTTAGAACTAAGAGTGAAAACTAAAAAGTCTTTGGACGACGGTGAATGGCATCGAATTGATATTTTTTGGGACACAGAAAACGTTAGAATGGTAGTAGATTTCTGCAAATCAGCTGATATACAGGAAATGGAAGACGGAACACCTCCCGAATTCGATGATTCGTCTTGTCAAGCGTCGGGAACTATCCCACCGTTCAATGAGTACTTAAATGTGAATGCACCACTACAAATTGGCGGTTTGTATATCGACCATTTCGACCCTACGCACTACCATTGGCAGTTTATGCCAATAGGAAAAGGTTTTGATGGATGTATTCGTAACTTAATCCATAATAGTAAACTGTATGATTTAGCTCATCCTGGATTATCAAGAAATTCTGTAGCCGGATGCCCACAAACAGAAGAAATCTGTAATCAAGCAGATACAACGTCTAGATGTTGGGAACATGGTAACTGCGTGGGTAGTTTTTCTGAAGCTCGTTGTCAATGCCAACCAGGTTGGACTGGTCCCGCTTGTAACTTGCCTACCACTCCGACTAGTTTTCGTCCACAAAGTTACGTGAAGTTTGCACTGAGTTTTGAACCGGACAGATTTAGTACACAAATACAGCTACGCTTTAGAACACGAGAGCCGCATGGAGAGCTCTTCAGAGTAAGCGACCAGCACAATAGAGAATATGGTATTCTGGAGGTCAAGGATGCTCGATTACATTTCCGTTACAATCTCAACTCCTTACGGACAGAAGAACGCGATGTATGGCTGAACTCAGTAGCTGTTGATGATGGGCAATGGCATATAGCTCGTGTGAGTAGATATGGCAGCGCCGCTACCCTTGAAATAGACGGTGGCGAGGGGCGGAGGTACAACGAATCATTTAGATTTGAAGGCCATCAGTGGCTGTTAGTTGATAAACAAGAGGGAGTCTACGCTGGTGGCAAAGCTGAATATACTGGCGTTCGGACATTTGAAGTGTATGCAGACTTCCAGAAAGGCTGTCTCGATGATATTAGGCTGGAAGGCAAACATTTGCCATTACCGCCCGCCATGAACGGTACACAATGGGGTCAAGCCACTATGGCTAGAAATCTTGACCGTAACTGTCCATCAAATAGTCCTTGCATCAATGTTCACTGCACGGAGCCCTTCGTATGCGTCGATCTATGGAATGAATACGAATGCACGTGAGTTTATGTTTTACATATAATTAAGAGTAAACTTGGTTAATGTCTTTAATTAAAAGAAAACATATTTAAAACGTTAATCTTTGTTGGATAATAAATTCAAATCAACCACTGAATATGTTTTTGTCACTTGTTTGATTAAAATGATTTTGAATTTTTATAAATTTGCACGTGTCTAAATTTTTGTTCTTAATCGACACAATTTGTGAAAAATATTTATTTTTGTCTATTTGTTGATCGCGCACTGAGTTTCTTTTATCAACTATTATATTATTTAGGTTTGGGAATATTATGTTATATTACTAACCATTTATGAAATACTATACATTGTACTTTGTAAGCTTTATACGCTTAATAATTATAAGTAATTATTTTTCTAATATTTTATAATAAAACTATGACTTGCTTATAATGTGTATATGTTAATATATTGCGATGGTGTCCAGTTGCGGTGAGGGTTTGGTATTGTCGCCGGACGGCAAGGGTTGCGTAGACAAGAACGAGTGCCTCTACTTCCCGTGCCGCAATGGCGGCTCGTGCGTCAACCGCGAACCTGGCTATCGCTGCCACTGTCCCGAAGGTTTCTGGGGCGAAAACTGCGAGCTCGTGCAAGAGGGGCGAACGCTCAAGCTGAGCATGGGTGCCTTGGCAGCCATCCTCGTCTGCCTCCTTATCATAATGAGTGAGCATAGAGTAGTCGCGCTTCGAGCGTGATCCTACCAACTAGGCTACCTTTCACCTACTCACGATCGCACTCTCATCATCATCTCATATATAGATATATGTGCATTAGTCGTATATTGTAGTGCATGCTTAGGGGCTCAGTGCGCGGATGTCGGGGGAGGGGAGACCGGGAGGTACAGTATGCGGTGTGTAGGTGTCCGGGAGGGTCAACTCGTGCCGGGGGCACGTGTGTCAACGTGAACGAGTGTCTGGGCCGGCCGTGCCTGAATGGGGGCACGTGCGTGGACCGTGAGCCCGCGCGTCGCTACGACTGCGTGTGCGCGCTCGGCTACGCCGGACACGACTGCGAGCTTGTCTTGCTCGCCTCCGGGATCATCACCCCCTCCAGAGATTTCATAATAGCTATCATTGTCTGTTTGTTTTTGCTTTTAGGTGAGCACCTTCACATTTATCATTTGCATGACTTGTTCCTTGTGAATTTACATCATTAGTTCCTAATCTACGTTAAGATCGATTAGATTTTTTGTTATTTTATATCTGGTTTTGAAAATTATATATTATAGTTTCGTTTTAAATAAAATTTTATCGACTATTACTTAACCACACTGTAAAAATCACTTACGCACAAGTTTTTATCCTAAGAAATAATTTAGCTAAAAAGTTCTTCCATCGTTTTACATTTAAAACTTTAGATCCAGTAAAGGTTTTAATATTGTTCTAATTAAAGCTATGTCTCAGAGTAAATATTCTTAATATTCACGAACTAATGAAAAATGTTCAAATACATCATTTTTATTAGCAATCTACACTTTTGTTCTTTTTACTTTCGTCAAAAATATATTGAAATGAAAAATATAATTCTCAGGTGATAATTTATCTCAAAAATATATTATAAAGATTTTTGTGCCTCCCATTTGAACTTATCACATGTACAACATGTCGTTGTAAACAAAACAATTCTTCAGTACATTCCATTACATACAGATTTTATCCGAAAATAACACATAAAAGTATTTTCCTAGCTACCTTACTGTCGTAAATAGAAATAGACAAAGTATGTAGTCTCATTTGCATTGCAAATGGAAGCAACGGCTCAGCCGGATAACTTCGTCTCACGCTGAAACCGTAAACCTTGCGCGAAAATGATACAGTACCTACTTAAAAACTTCAATACAAGCACATAACAACATAATAAAGACATTTTTACACAAAAAGTTAGTTCAATAATGTTTATGTACAATAATATTTGCATTAATCTGTTCAAAGTAACTGTTTTGTTTTTTACAGTGATGATGTACATAATATTAACATACTATGTAACTATGTAATATTTCTGCGCAGTATTGGTGTTAGTGTTCGTGGTGTACAACCGTCGTCGCGAGGCGCATATCAAGTACCCAGGGCCGGACGACGACGTGCGCGAGAACATCATTAATTACGACGACGAAGGCGGCGGCGAGGATGACATGACAGCATTTGACATCACTCCCCTACAGATACCGATCGGCGGACCTCTCCCTGACCATGCACCAGCTAAACTACCTTGTAAGTATACCGTGAATACAGCCCAGTAATCAGTAATCACATGGTGAAGGTCCACAGTTGGATCTGAAATTAGTCGGGACCGACAATGATTCGTGATCTGACATGACGAATAACGTAGCAGATTTGTAAATCTCTAAGGAGAATAGAAAATAAGAAGGACATTTATAATAAGAGGGACTGTTTGCGAAATGAAAGGTTTTTATTATAAATTTGCTTTTTTTCATCTAATACAAATAAACCGTTTATAATAAGAGCAAATTAAGAAAGGTAGTTAATGTGCGTGATTAGAATTTGAAAATACAGAAATATTACATTTTAAAATGTGAAAAATAAACATAAAAGGTGAAAACTCGTATAAAGTAATCAGTTACTATTTAATATCTACAGCATATTTTGATTACCGTAATACAAAGCGCTAGTCAGTCTTAAGACACAAATAAAGAATATTTTTAAATAATTCGACAAAAAATATAGTTTTCGCACATAAATAGAAACTTCGTAGCATTTTCACATTTCTAGAAATAAAATTCTTAGAAGTCCTTTATCAGTTGGATTGTTTGTTAGTAAGAAAACTAAAAGCGCCGTACCCTTGTAAATGTCATGTGTCTTTTTACTGTCTCCTGACATGTCTCTTACAGCTTACAATACTTAGGAATGCTCTCCACAATTCAATGATATTTGATACACACTGATACAATGTTACAAAACTCAATTTATCTCCAAGTAAGATAAAAAAATATCTTTGAGTAAGGTCATCAATTCTAAAGACGACGGTAAATAAGTAGGATGGAAAAGAGCGTTTGGATTTTGATAAACTTTGGAAAATTATATAAAAAAGCGAAAATGAAAATATCAAATACAATAAGGAAATGAGATTAGCACGCAATGTTAGTTTGAGGATATATTTACAATTCCTATTTTAAATATGGCTAAAAAAGGAAGAAAAAAAACATTACGTTCGAAATATAAAAATTATAAGTAAAAAATATAAAAAGGTTCTATATGTGTCGGCAACTACTTATTTAATATTATTCTCGTTTAATAACTTATTCTATAATTACTATCATTTACTTTAAAAAATTGGTACTTAAGTAAAGTCAAGGGTTTACATAGTTTAAGTGAAATATAATTGGACATTTGCAAATGGAGTGCCCTAATTAATAGTCATATTATCTATTCTCTTATCCTTATTGTTTACTCTCATGATTAAGAAACAATAGTTTGATAGAAATTGTGAAAATAGAATATTAGTAAAAATTATATTATTTTATATTGCAAATAAAAAATGAAAATATTCAAATAAAACTACGTAAAAAATATGAAACAATTTCAATTCATTCTCAAAGAAATGCTTTGAAAGATGCCTTTACTATAAATTCTAAGTGAAATTGTTAGAAGCTACTTTTTATAACGTTTCAATTTTTATCTAAGATATAAAAATAGTGCTGTGTTATTATACCTTATTAGAATTTCAGGCTATTTGATGAGAAATAGGGACGTATTTGCTTAAGTAAACAGGATTTAATTAATAAAGCTTGTGTAAATATTAATAGAAACTACGTCGTCGTCGTACGTCTGGTCTCGTGTAAATATGCACGCTAATGGCTTATCTATAACATTACATATTTCATTGTTATTAATTACATTAAGAAATTAATTAACCAAGTGCCCATCTCGATTTATATTAAAACAATGTACCAAGTAAAAAAACTCTATTGTTTCCTCTTAATTCTTTAGACCCGCTGATGGGAGTTGGTATCGGCGTGGGTCCGATGGGCGTGGCTATTGGTGTGCCGCCAGTATTGCCGCTGCCTGGCGAGACCAATGTGGGCATGTTTATCGAGGAACACAAACGGCGGGCCGACAGCGACCCCAACGCACCACCCTTTGACGACCTTCGCAACTACGCTTATGAAGGTGGCGGCAGCACGGCTGGCTCTCTGTCGTCTTTAGCTTCCGGTGAGTATATTTTTATTTGACTATAACAAAAGATAAATGATTTTATTAAAAAAATTGAAAAGAACTTAAGTTATTCATCAACACTGTTTATATACAAAAAGTATGGAGACTGGACATAGAGTTGGTGTTAGATTTATAGCAGAATATCAAAAAAAGGAATGAAAATACTAACATAAATGTTTTGTATGTAACAGGGCTTCGCAAATAATCCTGAGGGACTAAAACTGTCCTTATTAGATCCCTACATCTGAGAGGATAAGACTGGTTGGCACGTTTTTTGTAAATAAAAAACTTAACATGTCTAAAAAACCAAGACTCGAAATAAAGAGAGTTACAATTTTGTTATACTCGTAAGGCTGATAAATTAAATAATCTTTAAGAAAAGTAGTTCAGATAATCAACTTTATCTTTGTAAACTATACATAAAGTAAATAGTGAAACTATAAAACATGTTCATTGTCAACACATTGTAAAACTTAGCAGTACATTCTCCACAAAATTTAATTTAGAATATAATAAACAAAATTTTCGTCGACTAATAAAATTCAATTTGTGTAGGAGCTGTGAATGAAGAGACTGAAAAGTTTATATCAGAAAATAAGTTACTTAGTCCTTGAACAAAGTAGGTCGGAATAAGCCTCAAAGTTTCACCCTAACAAGCGACCTAACGAACTGGTAAACAGAGTTTACCATCTGCAACTTTTGTTACATTCGAAATTAAATAATTATTAACTATTGAAATAAGGTGTGCCGATGACAGACAGAAATTTTGCGGTAACTTATTTTGGGAACTGAAAATAAAAGAACAGTGACGTCAAAACGTTTTTAATAATACGCCAATGACTTATTTTTTTTTTCCTTTACCGAATAAGCATACTCGTTCCACTAATTCGTTCAAGTATAATGTAGCTTGTTAAAATCGTATTGGAATAAAATTTGTTAAAGTATTGATTATTTGTTATAGGTACTGACGACGACACACATGAATACGATTACTTGGGCGCCTGGGGACCGCGATTTGACAAATTGGCCGACCTCTACGGACCCGATATGGACGAGCAGCTCTAAGCGACATAGTGCAACCTCGCCCACAACACGGCGTTTTAGTCAATTGTCTCCCATTAAACTATCCTGTAAGCCGATATTAGCCGCTATAAAATACGCCCTTTAACTTGTGTTATTTTAAGATTTCGTTTGATATTAATCACGTCAGATGTCGCCGTGGCAAGCTATTCTCATCGTGTACTTTATTTATAAACACTAAATTTAAGCTACTTATTCTTATACTAATTTATTTTAAATGCGACGTTTTTTTATAAATTAAAACGTACTCACCAAATATTCGATATAAGTTTTTTATTATACTTAGCCATATTATGAGTCAGTATTTTATTGGAAGTTGTCGAGAAGGGGCATTTCTACTGGAGGGCCTGACGTGAACCTGAATGTGGGTGTTTGTAGATAGTGTGCTATAAATGTGAATAATTTATACGAGTATTTTGTAAGTTCACAGCTTTACGTGATATCACTGTAATGGATGGCCCTTCCGTATTAAGTCGACGATCGATTGGAGTATAGAAAGAACATGTTATATTTTATATTATTAAATAAAAAATAATTAGATTAATTGGTCCGTACGGCCGGCCGATCTGTAGCTCTCAGTGGAACCTTGGATTATTTAGGGAATGTATATACGATTTATTGAAAACATTCACCCCTTACATAGCTAAATGTAAAACGTAACATTCAATTTGAAATTTCAGTGTAAAAACTGTACAGTAACTGGTGTTCCTCTCCAAATATCTCTGTGTAGTGTTAGATAATATTTAGAGAAACGGACAAGATTACCTACGATGTACTTCTTGTATTAATCATTGATCGTGAAGGATTCTGTGTTGGCATAACGACTACCTTAAAGCTGAATGATAGCGTGCAAGTGAAAAGCAGCGGAACGAATGACAAACAAGAGCGAATGAGTGAACGAGCTGGAATACTTTGGGGATTGTGTGCGTGCGGTCGCTGGGAAGGGTGGAGCGACGCTGCGATATGAATGGGACTGTGCCAATTTTAGCGTTATCAATGCAGCTGACGACGGTAGGTTTAAGTGTTTGCACTTTATTTATTCGTATATTTACATAAATATAAATTTAGTCGCACCTAGAAAAATATCAATAACTTACTAAGAGTGTTGTGCTAGATTATTCCATCGATTTTGACGTGAGATAGTTGTTGAAACCATTAGCAAGTCACTAATTTAAACCCTTATTTTTAAGAATTTATAGTAAAAAAAAATTAAATAAATTAATTAAAGGTTTATAATGGAACTGTCTCACTTCGACATCGAATTAGGATCTGTGTAAATTTTAGAATATATTATACTTAATTGTGTTAAAATGACTGATTTTTTATTATGCGTTTGAAAGCCTAAGATTTTTGTAGATTCGGTTGTTTATTAACTTGAATACCTTACTGTAAGAACACCCACTAGTTTGCACTCAAAACAAATACTCGGGTTATCAATAATGAAGCAATTCTCGTTAATTACTATTCGTGTAAGTAGACATATTAGTTAGGCCCAAATCGACGTGACGTATAGTTTTTAATTTTTTTTACCATTTTTTATTTTATATTCATTATCATTACACTGCCAGTAATCATACATATTATAGACGAATTATAATAGAGTTTGTCCGATTTTATATTTCAGTCTTATACAATGGTATTTTATAAGTTTTTGAACTGTTTATAAAATGTATACTTTTCCAATTCAATGTTCTCTACGTCACTGCGTAATGAAACGAAACATTTTAATTTCCCTGTAGGCTCTGATGTCTTAGGGTGCGCTTTCATTAACCAAAAATTTATAATTTACATTTTTTATAACACCGTAAAAACAAACTTATTATAAAAAACCAAATTTACTTGTATATAACTTTTCTTTAACTTCCTTTAAAGTTTGAATTGAAATAATCAATTAATTAATTACTGCATGTGGTAGTGAAAACGCACCCTTATTATGTGTACATTTTGTGCATCTGTTCAATGCAATATTACAGTTCAATAGAAGTTCTGTGTTATCAATTGCAAAATCAAATTAGTATACGAGATACTACGATTTGTATAATTGTACAGTACTATACGGGCTCTTTCGTCTATCCTTTATAAGCCAAATGGCAATAATAATAACAATACTTCGCTGCGAATTTGAAATAATATGTAACTTGTACACACGACAGCAGAGCACATTCTTCTAGTACAAATAAAGAGACGTGGCATAACGCCAGTCAACACTGCACCTAATTATTAATTTAGATTATAATTACGATATACCAACATAGTTTTGTTTTGTTTCAACTGTGATTATTAAGTTATACAATTCTGACAATTACATAAAAGATATAATAAAATGTGAAAAAAAAACAATGTTTCATTTCACTCCCCTGTGTCTCCCGTTTATTATCATTATAGGAAAGTATTAGGCGTTATTCTATTGACTAATAGAATCGACAGTAGTAGTATTGATTTCCCGATATTTAATACGTGAATATTATGGAATATTTCACGAAAGATTACAATAGGAAACTAAAGAATACATACGAATAATTTCAATATACATATATTCTGCTCTAGTGATATCAAAAAACACTCAAAAATTTAATTAATCCCATTTTTATTACAGAAAATAATCAAATTTGCATTATTTACAACACAAAACACATTTACGTTTTTTAGTTATTTTTTATTTTATAAAAAATGTTCAAAACTTAACTTAAACCTTAATGCGATGGTGACCAGAGTGACGAACAACTAATTAAAAAAAATCTACTGAACTAGTTTAGAGAAAATTACGTAAGTATGACTTTAAAAAAAAAACAGTTTTTTGCTAAAAAAAAAATTCGTCGAATTAAGGGTTAACTATGCAATTTTATTTATTTTTTACATGTTATAAAAAAGTACAAAAAAACTCTTTGTCCACAACGTTACCGATACGATCTAAGAAGGGTCGGATGTAGTATAAACATAATATCTATTGTAGCGGTCATGTATGAAAAATATCTACAAACAGTATAAAATAAGGTTAACCCAAGAGCCTTTGCGTGTACTTAAATTAAACTTTAAGATATTTTAAAAAAAGATGACACGTGTTTCTTATCTAAATATTTTCCTAATAGATGTGTACATCCAACAAAAATGTTGTCAAGTAAAATCCGTAATCATTGTTTACACCTTTAGGTTTTTTGGTTTACAACTTTATAGGAAGTTGTGTAATAATAAGATACTAAAGTTTATATCAATGGAACATTTACAACTGTGCAATCTGCAGAAGAAAAAAAAACAAATAATCATTGATAAAGTAAAAAATGTAATGTTCTTTTTAAATACTGTGCTTTTAATTTTGCTGTAGTTGAGTATTTTTGACCGCATACAGGGGATGGCATTGCGGCTGGCTTATATTCAGCAGTGACCAGACTAAGGCTGATGATGATGTTGATGAGTACTTTTTACTTTGACGTGTATAGAAATTTCTTTAGGTTGATGTCAAATAAATTTAACGTAATATAAATAGCGGCAGCAAAGGTGTATTTCAATATAAAGTTTTCACGTCCAAAGTAAAAGTACTACATGAGGTTCTTCAGCACGTTTTCTCATTTTAAGTTAAATATAAACTTAAATTTAAGAGACTTCTAACTAAAATTACGTAAAGAAAACATGCGTCAACATTTTGAGTAAAGTCAGCTTTTCTTTGTCTTTTAAACTATTTTGTGTCACCTAAAAGAATACATGATAAAATTTTATACTATAATACTAAAAAAAATTAAGTGTTATAAGACCTACCACTAAGTCAAATTATATCGAACCTGTGTCGTGTTAACGCGGACTTGTCAACTCCTTGATATATAAACACGGCTAAACACTCACGTATATACGTCCGGTGCCGCCACCGGACGTATATACGTGAGTGTTTAGCCGTGTTTATATATCAGTTTAGTATAATGTCTCACGAAAGTTTGAATAATTTAATTGTCAACTCCTTGCTCACCGGACACCGCCCGTCTCACCATCGCCGCGGTATACACGCACCGCCGCCTCGTCGTCGCCAAATGAGCGAGATAAAGATATAAATTTGCTAGCAAAACTTTATATTTTTCTCCCTTGCATGAATGTACCGCGTGTTGGCCGCAAGTCATTGATGGGCCGGGTGAAGAAGTGGATTAATATGCGTTAACCTTAATAACTGTTGTCAGCGTAGATGACTTCGTAGCTCGCTGTAAAATAAAGACGTCATAGAAATACGTTTACTTGTAAAAAGTTAGCAAATCTTTTCAAATGTATATAATAATATGAGGGTTCTTTTATATTAAAGGTTAACCTACTGTTGTGTATAACGAAGAATAAATTGACAGACATTAAGGCTTAGGTAGATTAGTTTTGGGAACATGTATGTGTTTCAAACTGATTAAAGTTACGCAGTTTGTGTAATTTTCTACCTTGTACCGAGTATTAGGTTTTGCTTTACTTCAAATTTGTTACACGATAGACGAATATCTTTTTACATTTATGCTGAACACTTCATAATTGCCAACCAAATAATAACTAAATAATTTGTTAACTAGTAGCTATCGCCCGAGACTCCGTCCGCGCGATATTAAAAAAAAAACTTAATTAGTAGCCTATGTGTTCTACCAGACTATGTTCAATATGTACACCGAATTTCATGGAGATCCGTCCAGCAGTTCTGGAGAGACCTCCAAAGAATCATTTATACATCCGTCCATTTAGATGGATGGAGGAATATTTGAATAAATATTCGCATTTTTAATAAACTAATGGCTATAGACTTTTTAGTAAGGTCCAATGATCTAAATAAATTAAAAAGAAAGAAATTCTCTTTTATAATTTATCTATGTCCTAGGTGAACTCGTTTATTACATGTATGTAAAAACTTAAGCAATTTCGCGCTGTACTATTTTAACTTTTTGTTCATGTACCAAGTTTCTTTCAGTCTACATTTCACTGTCTTCAATGGCATTTCTTAAAAATCCTTGAGAAAAGTAACTATTATCATTTTATGTCTATTTTATATGCAAACAAACTAAACTAACCTAGCTATTGTTGAAAATAGGAATAAAAACAAATCTTAATGGCAATTTAAATTATTTATACAAAATATCTTAACATGTTTGAAGGTTTTTCAAAAAAAAAAAATTCACATAGTATAAGTCGGCACACGAGCAAGTGGCCACTTAGATTCGTTGAAATAGCGATGCGACCGTTGCCCATAGACATACGCCATTGCATATGCATTGCCTAATTTTAATCGACGGAGGAGGGATGCACAAAAAGAAAAGTAGAGAAAGAGGACTAAAATTAGGCCTCCGTGACGCACACTCATCAGACGAAACGCGAAATTGCTTCCACTTGACGCCTGTCTTCTGTGTGGTGGTATCACCGGGCGCGCCGGGCAAATTCGAGCGAAGATTAAAACGGGCTCTACAACCTTTATAGTAACAGTTATATTTTGTTCATGTTTCTGGAATTCCGTACCGTAGATATCCATCATCGAAACAATTGTCCATGGAAATATTGTCAACACTTCCGTTGAAAAAAAAAAGATAAACAATATGTTCCAATTTCAATAATTCTGCAGTAAAATTACGCGGTTACTATTTGCTCACACAATTAACTAAATACAACTCCAGGTTGCTGTGAAGTTACATATAATTAAATTTAGGTGAGTGTAGTTTGTATAACTCATAACAGAAGTACAGTTTATTCCAGTTCAATGAACAAGTCTGTCTCGTGTCGCTATTCAATTGATTACATGGTTGCTATGCCTGCTTTCAATTACGATAATTGTACTAGCTTTTACACGCTTCCTTGACTCGTATCACATAATTAAATTAGTTTGCAAATCAGCAGAACTATCATCATTATCCTCATGCCTTTTACCTACGTATTTGTTTTATTGTTTCTTTAAAATATTAATAAATATATCTATAAATAGCTGTAGTCCTCGGTTTGACTCGCTGCGATTATAAATGCAAATGTTGAGATAGATGTGATGTGGATGGATGTATAGGTGTTTGAAGATATCTCTAGAACGGCCAAATGGCATACGTACAGAACATAGTCTGAAAGAACACACAGGCTACGCTTATTAAGTTTTTTTATATATCCACGCGGACAGAGTCGTGGGCGACAGATAGTTTATAACATTTTAACATAGATCTGTTTCTATTGAGTAAACTTCATTTGCGTTTTTCGATTAGTTTACATTTACAACAATCATTCAGCACACTCGTATACCGAAATTCCTTATCTACCAACTTTTACAGCTACACATCACGGTTCAAACGTTTTTCATCTAATATTTACGTTCCACTATTTTCTAGTTTCCGAAACTGTGTTTATTTAACAGCCACGAAAAATATACGAGTATGCTTTTGTATTACTTCAGCTGTATAGTTTATTTGAATTAAATATTCGTTGAAAATGTACTATGGCATAACAATAATGTTTGTTTTTATTTTATACAAGCGGTCGCACGCGACATATGATTTTTTTTCGATAGCAAGTACAGATACTCCAATTTAAAACAATTTTATTACAAGTTGTAATTATCACGTGTGCACGGTATGGTTGTAAAATTATGGGAAATAAAGTTGAAATTTATAGCAGAAATGGATTAATAGAACTCAGTAAAATTTTGTAAGAGATCTACAAGGAAAAAAGTTTAGGAATATCTTTTATAAATAGATTAAATAGATGAATACCGATAAATAAATTCACAGATAAGGTTTTTCACATCATAATAAAGAAATTAGGTCAAGTTGTCCTAACGGAACCATTGCTCCATAACTCTATAAATGAAGCTTTTAAGCTTTTATCGTTGTTTTGAAG